TGAATTCTAAATATGGTCTCACAAAAGAGAGAATATTTTGTAAAAGTAAGTGGTTCACCTATATCGGAATGGGTAGAAAGGTGGTAAATTTATAATTTTTCTTTTTTTTTTTTTTTTTGATGGGTAAAGTAGTGACGATCTGTTCTTGGAATATAAGTGGGCTGGGAGATCCAACAAAAAAACAGCTATGTTTAAGATGGCCTCTGCTTTTGGGATTTCTCTTTTGTTTACAGGAAACACATCTGATTAAACTGTAATAAGATTAAAACATAAGGGGTTCTCTTGTCAATATCATTCAGTGTATACCTGGGGGGAAAAAAAAAATACGAGTATTTTAATACATAGATCAGTGCTGTTTTCTTGTAGACAAAGATTGATAAGGGTGGATGCTATGTATTTGTGTATTAGCAGATATATTATGTATACTGATGAATGTGACAGTATGTCCCCCCTCCATTTAAAATGAATATAATTACACAAATATTAGAATTTCTAGTGGATAAGCCAAATATACCAAGCTTGGTGGTAGGGGACTTTGATATGGTAATAGATATACAGATGGATACATTTCCAATGGGGAGGAGAACAGGACAGAGTAACTACACTCTATTACATAGGGTGATAATGGAGTCAGGGTTGAGAGATATTTGGCGAACGTTATCCAAAGTATGAAATGTTTTCATGCTGTTCAGGCACCTATTTGTCGCTCTCCAGGATAGATATGGCACTGGGGAGTGACAGAATGTTGCCCTTAATAACTGATATAAGGAATGAGTCTAGAGGTCTATCAGATCATTCTATGTTGATAATGGTCTGACCTTATCAAAATCAACAAAGGAAATTGAAGGTAAACCCCTATTTGTTGCAAATAATAGCCAAGGAGCACATGAATAAAGCCGTGGATGATTTTTAAGACAATAGGGCTTCAGCACTCAGAATGTGGTGTGGGATGCACTTAAGGCGTATTGTAGGGGGCTCATAATTCAACATATCTATGAAATAAAAAAAAAAAAAAAAAACACTATGGATTGGGAACAATCAATTATGAAAGGGGTGGTAGAAGCAGAGAGAATGTGTCAGGGCGCGGGTGTTCTGCAGCATCGTGCCGGGTGGCGCATGCGACGGGACCTGGATGAGCGCGGCAATGGCCGTGCATGTGCACTCGCGATCGCGGACACGCGTCTGGCACCAATGACAGCGCAGGGCGGGCTATTTAAACAGAACAACGGTATGTCAAAATGCCATTTGGTCTTATCTGCTCTGTTCCTGATTCCTGATCCTGTGATTATTCTGTTGCCGCATTGTACCTGACCCTGCTGACTTCTCCTGATTAACCCCTGGCTTGCCTGACCATCCTTCTGCCTGATCCTTTTTACCGCTGCCCGCTAATTACTGAACCTGGCTTGTGACTCCGACCATTCTCTGCTTGCTCCTCTGGTACCTCGCTGCCCGCACATTGCTGACCTGGCCTGCCTGACTACGCCTCACGCTACCCAGACCATCCATCCATCCATCCCGCAAGGATCGCTCCCTGTCAGTAAGTCTGCCAGCCTCTTCACATCAGACTCCGTTTCTCACACACCCCCGACGGTGCTCTCTACCATTGCCAGACATACTCAGGGGTAGCGACCTGGTCTCAGTCTGCGCCAAGTCTATCCCCACCATCAGGGGCCCTGGTGAATAGCAGATTGGGACTTAGACCCCGCGCCCTGAGGAACTCCGCGCTGTAGGCTGCTAGAGACACCGACGGGCGGATCCTAACAGAATGTATATAGAAGACCCAATTAATGATAATCTAGAGAAATGGAAGGAAATGCAACAGATGTATAGTAAGATTTCCTTGACAAGTGCTGAAAACAGGGTATAAATAAACGAGAATTTCAACAGGAATTGTCCATTCAAACGGTAAATACTGTGCCAAAAGTGCAATGGTGCATGTGCCTTTAAAAATTATCCACCACTTCTTATGGGTGCACACTCACCAGAACTCTGATGTATACAGGCATTGGTTACAATTCTGTCACATCTGGGTGCAGGGGTGGTAGGACAGCTTAAGGGTTAATCCAGCATCCTCTCAGTACCAGTGGTGCATGCCACACGGGTGTGGTCAGCTGCTGGGAGATGTGGAGCTGCCTGGAAGAAGGAAGAGGTGCTCCGACTGAGAGGTGAAGTGGATCCCTGTATGTCCTGATCACAGAACGAGGCCTCCTCTATAATCACCGCTGGGGACAGTGGTTGAGCAAATCTTCCCCAGATCTAAAGAGTCCTGCATAACTGGTACTGAGAGGATGCTGGATTAACCCTTAAGCTGTCCTACCACCCCTGCACCCAGATGTGACTGATGTATATAGGCATTGGTTACAATTCTGGTGTGTTCTGGTGAGTGCGCACCCATTAGAAGAGGTGGATAATTTTTAGACACATGCACCATTGCACTTTTGGCACAGGATTTACCATTTGAGTGGACAATTCCTGTTGAAATTCTCATTTATTTTTACCCTTTTGAATACATATGATGATTATGGACTTTTTATCCCCACAAATTGCACAATAGCACTTTAATATAAAAATTATGTATGCAATATTCTATTTTGAATTATCATATATTGATTGATTGATATCATACGGAGATTATAGTTATTCATTGAGTGCACATTGCACAGTTTTGCACGTATAGCATTTTATACTTGCTGTGCACTTTCTATATACATATATAGAAAATTACATAATTTGTGAAAGCGCTGCAGTGTTCAGTTTTGTTACATTAGAAGAGTATTCTTAAATCTGCAAATTCCAGCAGAGGAGGAGGGTTCGAGAGCTATTCTCTGCCTAGATGCTGCTAAAGCATCAGTGTGGAGTTATCTGTGGCAGGTAATGTTAGCATTTAAATTTGGTCCGGTGTTTTTGAAGTGGGTGCGGATTCTCTATAATACCCCCAAGGCAAGGGTGAGAATTAATAATGGGTTATCTGAGTATTTTTCACTGGTGTGAGGGACAAGGCAGGGATGCCCTCTATCTCCACTTTTTTTTTTTTTTTTTTTTTGTGCTGGCTATAAAACCTCTGGCGATCTCCATCAGTTGCAAGGGAGGTAAAGGGTTTCTGTAGGGGAAAGGTTAAGGAAAAAATATCCCTTTATGTGGATGATATGCTCTTGTTTTTGGGGGATACAAGGCATTCATTAACTGTAGTAATGGATAATATAAAGTCTTTTGGCTCCTCTGAATTATCCATAAATTGGGAAAAATCCAATTTGATTTCATTGGACAAAAAGATAGAGGTACTACACGAGGGTGCCAGGCACCTACAGGTAGTAGGATTTGCTGCTACTTTTATTCCTAAATACCTAAAATGTTCTAAAACATTTTTTGAATAACTTAGTGCCCTTGTTAGCAAAATTTAAAGAGAAGTATAAAGCATTGCGCCAACTTCCTCTCTCAATGGTGGGACAATGTGGTTTGATTAAAAAGGTATGGCTACCCCAATTTTTATATATTTTGCATAATTCACCTGTATGGATTACAGGAAAGTGGTTTAAGAAGATAGATACTCTATTTAGGGAATTGGTGTGGAAAGGGTGACAGGCTAGAATACGTCTTCAGGTATTGCAGCTCCCTAAAGGAGTGGCAGTGCCGCACCCTTGGGGTTATTTTTTGGCAGCACAACTACAGCATTTAGGAGGCTGTGGACTAGGTGCGGGAAACGGGGATCATAGTTTACATATGTTACTTTGTACACGCCACCTTACTTTAGTAGAAGCGTTGGAAGCAGAATCCTTAAAGATGGAAAGACAATCCCCAACAAGTAAACTAATGTTGAAATTATGGCGAATAATACGAGCACTATTTGGGTACACAGGGTTTATGGACTATACGCCGATATGGGAAAATAAAAACCTATCTGAGCTTGGAAAACTAGAGAACTTCAACAATTGGAAACCAAAGGGAATTGTGTATTCAGCACAGTTATACACACCTAGGGGAGTGAAAACCTTTGAGGAATTGAGAAATTTGGGCTCTCAAACAAATGTTTCTATCAATATCTATAGTTGAGGCATGCTTTGACAGCTCAGTTTTTAAGGTAAAGGAAATGGAGTGGAGTGATGCCCCTCTGTTAGAGTCCTTAATAAATGCTCCCAACTACCAAAGGGTTAATATCAAAGCTGTATACAAATATACAATTAATAGCCTTGGATAAGGATAAAGAACTACCATGTAGGGTTAAATGGGAAGAAGATGTGGGCAAATTAACGGATGAGCAATGGAAGCATGTCTTAAAATCAGTGGCTTTAGTATCGCTGTTCCCCGCACAAAAGTTGACACAGATTTTCATTATTCATAGAACATACCATACAGCAAGGAAATTGTTTTTGTTTGGGAGGCGTCCAGATGCATGTTGTCTCAGGTGTGAGGATCAGGTGGGAAATGTTTTCCATATGATTTGCCGGTGTCCCAAATTTATATAGATATTGGGAAACTGTGATTGAAATAATAGGACAGGTGGTTGGTTTAATGTTAGAGATGGATCCCAAGTTGTGTATACTGGGGATTATGGGAAATGATGGAATGTCATAGTCTGTGAAATTGGCAGTGCAGAGATGTCTGTATCATGGCAGAAAATTGATTGCCCAGAAGTGGATATCCTCAGTACCCGCTAGCTGTGAAGACTGTTTAAAATTGGTGGATAGAACAATAATTAAGGGAAAAATAAATATATGAAAGGAGGGGTTGTTTAGGAAAGTATGAAGAAATATGGAAATTATGGAATGTGTTCGCTAGTCTGGTGTCAAAATGTAGCGATAATTGATGAAGACATATAATAATGTACATTATGCATTGATGTCTGTGAGGGTGGGAAAGGGCTGGGTTAAGAAAATGTAGATTTGCAATGATTGATGTATTGTATAATCTTTTAATGAAAGAAATGATTAATAAAAATGATTGGATTTAACAAAAAAAAACTTTGCCTGGAGTTGTACATTATGGATATGTTTATCTCTTAGGGCATTGGGGAAGCAGGCCTTTTCCTAGGATCTGCTGTGTTCTTTGCAATTAAGGATGCTTTATCATCTGTCCGAAAGGAAAGAGGCTTGTCGAGCACTTTTACACTGAACAGCCCTGCTACTCCAGAGAGGATACGTATGGCTTGTGGAGACAAGTTCACTGATATGGTAACTGCTTTACATCTTGCTTTAGATCTTAAATTTTACTGCATTACTGTGATTGACAAACCAAGCCTTATGCGTGAAGTGGCTGGCCAGAAACAAGGACTTATGTTGTGTTCAGACCTATTGTTAAAAAAAAAAAAAAAAAAAAAAACACTAGAAATTACTGCTGGGTCACTTTCCTTTAGAACACTTTTTATATAAGAGAACCATAGTGACATATTTAATGGATAACTACCAGTGATACTGATGTAAATATACTGGAGTTAAAATGATAGACACCAATCCTTTGTTTGGTGCCACTGGGTGTCTTCAGTCTGATGGCCAGCATCATTCAATCCAATCCAGGTCATCCTGCCTGTCCACCCACCCTGTTAACTGGGCAGTAAAAGGAAAAGCAGCACAGTGATGAGCTCCTCTTTCTGTCATTCTGCTTTCTCCTCCTATTAGCATGCTTCTTATTGGCCCTTGCTGTGCTTCTTTTACTTTCACTTCAGCTTTGCTATACAGAGATTGTGTAAAAGGCCAATATCTGTTCAGATTCAGGTACTTACACTTCTCACATTTCAGAACAGCCATTCTCAACCAGGATTCAGTGGAACCCTAGGATTCCTCCAGAAGTTGCTAGGGGCCCATTGAGCTGTGGTTCATTGACCTCCCATTTGATGGGAACTGCAAATTCCTAGGACCAATGCTATTTAAAACAGCCAGTGGCATGACACCAATGATCTATTTACAGTAGGGGTCTGGAACAGTGGGATTCTGACCATCACTGTAAAGGGACATTCTTTCTCCATATGGGACAGGTTCAGTGGTTCCCCTTGACCTGAAAATTTCATGGATTCATTGGGGGTAAAAAGGTTAAGGAAGGCTGATTTTAGAAAAAAACATCTAAAACATATCAAACCCAAAACTAAACAGGTCAATATATTGCAGCTTAGCAACCATTAGATGTGGTGGCTGCATTGATTTTCTATTTTAGACTTGAAGCGCTGAGCCCGGCTTCAGTTCTTCTCCCCTCTCTTTCTTCTCTCACAAGCTTCACTGAGAGCAGCAGGAGGGCTCCTGCTGCTGTAAGTCAAATCATGTGAGAAGGGAGTGGGGGGGTGCACTGTGTCTACAGACCCACACAGCCCCATTCGGGAGCAAGCCCACAAAACTACCCCCATAGCAAGGTGCTTGCTAAGGGAGCAGAAACAGAAGAGGAGGAGCCAAGATCGCTGTCGAGGGACCCCAGAAGACAAGGTTCGGGGCTGCTCTGAGCAATACCATTGCACAGAGAGGGTAAGTAGATCATGTTTATTATTTTAAAGAAGAGTTCCACTCAAAAGTATAATCTCTGCTTATTCGCCACCTCTTCCCCCCCCTCCACTGCCATATTTGGCAGGGGGGAGCCTGTTCCTGGTTTTGACAGGTTCCCACTTCCAGCTCAGCTTGCTGCTGTGAAATGACCCGGACGTTCTGCCCCCTCCTTGCTCCCGCAGTCTCCTGGGAACTTTTACAGGTCCCAGGAGACTGCTGGACCAATCAGGAGGCGTGTTGTGACTCAAGCATGCGCAGTGGGCACTAGGCTGTGAAGCTAGCTGTCACACCCTGGTGCCCACAGTAGAGATGCCAGCGCCTTGGAGGACAGAAGGAAAGAAGGGACTGCTTGGGTGAGTACAACGCTGGACCCTGGAACAGGTAAGTGTGTGTTTATATTAAAAGTCAGCAGCTACAGTTTTTGTAGCTGCTGACTTTTAGTACACAAATTTTGGCTGGAACTCCACTTTAAGCAAAAAAAAAAAAAAAACAGACTTTACAATCACTCTAAAGTGGTATTAAACCCAAAAGCAAACCTTTATAATATATCAAACATTAATATATTTATTATATTGCAGCTTACCAATTCTTAGATGTGATGGCTGCATTAGTTTCCTTTTTTAGGCTTTATTTTATTTTCATCTAGTGATCCATCTAGCAAGGCTGTTATTTTTCAGAAGCCCAAACTCTCCACCAGAATGTATCAGTTTACATGAATGAGACAGGCCATTTAACACTTGCAGGAGTGATTAAAATGATCAGCTTTTATTTATTCATGTAAAACCTTTATCCCAAAAGGAGGGAGGGAGAGAAACAAGCCAAAGAAAAGAAAACTGATGCAGCCACCACATTTAATGATTGATAAGCTGCAAATGTATTACATTTTCAATTTGTGGTTTAATACCGCTTTAAATTGCAAAAGGCAGTGAGATAATTTTACACATGGTGGCAAAAATAATCCCCCCTTTTGCATTTGGCAGGCAGTACTGCCTCCTAACACAATACATTCAAGTGAATGAGGCCATGTCTCAACTGCCCTGTAGTTTGTATTTTTGTATTGTCCTGTCAGTTCTAAAATGCATAAATGCCCACACGACTGCACTACAAATTCTTTTGTAAGTAAAAGCAAAAAAGCAGTTTTCATTTTTGTATTTAATCAGTGTATTTATCTGTTTGCCTAGAGTGAATTCCAGACAAATTTGAATTCTATAAACCATCCTATTAAAGTCTATGACCTTGCAGAAGTAAAAAATGCAGCTTCTTTTCACAAACCTAGTTGTCAATTCATATGACAATATATTGTTACCTGTTCAAGGGAAAAACATGTCATTGGTGTTTAGAAACAAGTCTGATATCATATAGTCCACAAGGAAATTTACACTGCCTACTGATGAATCATATTTTGCATGGGTACAGCAATTTGCAAGTTTACCAGGTGGTAGAATGAAATAATGAATTGTGTTGCTGTGCATGCACCTTTTTGAAAATGCGGCCACAGGGAACACGCATGGACTTTCTGACTTTGCATTCTTCCTGTGGTTCCCGCACCCGCGATCACGCTGTGAGTTGAAATGCATGGGGGTGCCATTCAGAATGAATAGCAGCCCCACGTGTCTTTCAAGAGCAGTATGATTCAGCTGCGGGGGGTTGCAAGAACAGGTGCAATTCCTGCAACTAGGCCGCAGCATGCGGGCTAGTGTGAACCAGGCCTAACAGTGTCCAAGTGCAGATGGACTGAGCATTTTGCACTGGCACCTTATTTTTTCGAATCTACTACATTCCAAGAAAAACAAAATCCGAAAGGTACAGCTTTACCTAACTAACTTTACCTAACAACTACCCCAATTGTTTACTTTCTTTTTGTTTTGTTTTTCTTTGTAGATCAAAAAAGGATGACCCTGCACCTTTCACACCATGGTCTATTGATGTATGAAGACATACATTTTGGTTTTAAATATACAGTACTCAGGGTAAAATACTCATCTTTAAAAATATGTAACACAAAACGAAAATACTAAAAGATTTATCTTGAGCAGAAAACATGATATAGTTGCCGATCTGTCTCAAGAAGATGTTATGTGAAATTTTACAACCAACAAATTGTACACTAGTTGTATGCAGTTGATATGCCTGGAAGATTTAAAAAATTGATGATAGAGGTTAGGGGACAATATTTGTAGACATCATAAATTACTTAAGGGCACATTTTCACGCCATAGAAAATTTGTACTTTGAGAAATACAGTGATTGCCTTTGCAGAAGACCTTTCTGAAAATGCTGGTTGCCTCACCGTCAAGGGCTTGAATGATTAGCTTGCCTGAAACAAGCACGCAACCAAGAAATTGAGACTTAAGGTGTAACAAAAGGCAAAACTTTTTTTTGGATAGAATAAGGGAGGGTTATAACCCTTGTAAGTTGTGTATTTTTTGTTTGTTTGTTTGTTTTACCATCTGTGTCCCATTGGGGAGATTTCTCTTCACTTCCTGTCCCAGAAACGGCAAGTGATAAAAAAAAATCCCTCCAAAGTTGGAGTCTCAACATGTCACAAGGGTCAAGTGAAATAAACCAATGCACTCTAAAAAAAAAAAAAAAAAAAAACCTTTGACCACTTGCCGTCCGCCTGCTGTTTATAAACGGCAGAGCGGTGGCACTCTAGGGGCGGGTTGCCGTTCATAAACGGCACCTGCCTTTTCTAGCTGTGCGTGCTCCCTAGGAGCGCGCAGCACCGCGATCCGGAGCTCGCTGTGTCCTCCGGACACAGTGGAACACCGATCGTTGGACGGGACCTTGGTCCGATCATGTGATCACTGATTGGCCAATCAGTGATCACATGCAAAGTAGTAAGCAAGATGTCACTTGTGACATCATTGCTTACTTTGTGTGAAATCTGTGAATGATCACAGAGGTCACATGGTACAAGGCTATTCACAACAGCCTTGTACCATGTGACAAGGTGTGACCAATCACAGCTCACTCAGTATTTCTCAATGGCTGCAAGAATGCAGACAGAGAGAGAGAGAAATGATTGCTTTTACATCCTAATGGGTGTAAAAGCAATCACTGTACAAAAAAAAAAAAAGAAATCTTCATCACCCCCCACAAGTAGTACAGTGTCACCATGGTGACACTGTACTGCTAGGGTGACAGTATGTAAAAAAAAAAAAAAAAACATAAATAATAATATAAAAAAATAAAATAAAAATGTAAAAAAATTATAATTTTTGGTTATAAACTAGTTTGGCTTATTTTTTTTTTTTCTAAAAATATAACGGAATACATTTTGGTCAAGATTTATGATGAAAGATTATTTATTTGCAAAATTTTATAAGAAAAACACTTTTTTTCAAAATTTTTGGACTTTTTCATTTACGTAGCAAAAAAAATAAAAATCCCAGCGGTGAATAAATACCACCAAAATAAAGCTTTATCTGTCTCAAAAAAAATGGTAAAAAATTCATATGGGTACAGTATTGCATGACCGCGCAATTGTCATTCAATGTGTGATAGCGCTGAAAGCTGAAAACTGCCCTGGACAGGAAGGGGGTAAAAGTGTCCGGACAGGAAGTGGTTAAAGGAAATATATGATCACTAATGAAAAAGCAAAAATTGTGCAAAAAAAAGCAAAGTACAAAATAAAGTGCATATGAATCTCAATACTACCCAACTGTAAACCATAATGTATAATCGGATACATTTAAAGTTGAGTATTTATGTCATTACAAATTAGACACAGCATTTGAAGCTGATACAATTCTTGATGAACCCCTGAAAAAAAAAACCTCAAAACAGGCAACATGATGCTCATACAACACCTTATGTGAAATCTGAAAATCATTATTTTGGATGCGATGCGATAGATGTCAATGTTCTGAGTATTCAATAAACACGTACATTACATTTAT